GAGGAGTGATACAGCGGCGAATAAACACAACAGCGGATTAACACACTAATCTTTTAATCGTCGACAATAGGTTACAAGACGGCGATCTCGAGCTTATACACTACGAGCGGCACAATAATAAACGTGAACGCGAAGGTGAATCGGTGGCTGGTCAGCCTGCCGATTCCCTTATTAAAACAAAATATTCCAATTAATGCCCGACTTTTCGCCGACAAACTATCAACGAGGTAGCCAGCACGTCTGCCGTGCTACCACCCATAAGCTGGCGCCCAAACATGGAAGAGAGAGAGAGAGAGAATCAAGAGAAAAACACGGCACCGACCTTGACCTTCAGCCTCTCTGACGGCTAGAGCGTTCCGCAGTGTGACGTCACTGATGTACTTCCCGCCGACCGTCTCGCTGATGTTTGTTTCGTCGCTCCTTTCCTCCTTCTCGCTCTCTCATTCGCTCCACAATGTTACTGCCTTGATCCGAAACTCGCTCGTTAATTGCTGTTGTCGTCGTCTTCGTTGCTTCTCCGACGCTCGGTACTGCAGCACGCCAAAACTGCTCGCGCGCGCGCCCGCGCACCTCGCCGAATAGAACTCTGGCGATCTCAAATATGACGAGCACAAATTCATCATCAAAAATTTACTTAAAAATGCCACAAAAATTTTTGTATAATTTACAAAACGTGTAGCCACATTACAATTTAAACTTTGAAGTTTCATATGTTCCTTCAAAACTAACGAATAGAAACGAGAGACAGTGCATTTCAAAGCATTTTCCACGAGCTTTTAATTAATATATATATCACAAGTATAATCAAAAGGTTTTTCTAATTTTTTCATACGATTATTCATGGATGAAAATTCCAAAAGTTTAAGTATATTTTTGATCTCTTGTCAATTTTAAGAAAAAAATAGCAGGAACATTTTGAGCATAGGATTATCTTCCTCTTCCCAAATCCTATCTAAATCACTAATTCAAAAATTATTTACATCCAATATGACCTACATTTGAGCATTTATATCAAAAAGTTACGTTATTTTTCAAATTTTCATAAATCTCTAAGTTCAAATCATAAAAAAATTGCACATGAAAGAAAATCTTCCTTTTTCTATGTAGAATACTGTGGAATTTTCTCAGATTTTTTTTCGAAAAAAAAATTTGTTACCTTTTATTCTACAGCTGGAGAAAGAAAATTATGTGTATATACGAGGTGTGTTCAAAAAGTACCCGGAATTATCGTTTTTCCAAAAAAATATTTATTTATTCGTTTACATCAATGTGGTTCCCTTCAAAGTAATCCCCCCAGATAAAATATACTTATGCCAGCGTTTTTTCCAATCTTCGAAGCACTCTTGATATTCACTTTTTGGTATGTCCTTGAGCACTCTCAGCGATTCGGCCTTTATTTCTTCAATCGAGGAAAAACGTCGTCCTTTCATGGGTCTCTTCAACTTTGGGAACAGGAAAAAGTCACACGGAGCCATATCTGGTGAATATGGAGGTTGGGGCACGACTACGGTATTGTTTTTGGCCAAAAAATTACGAACAAGCAACGACGAGTGAGCAGATGCGTTATCGTGATGCAAAAGCCGTGAATTGTTTTTCCATAAATCGGGGCGTTTTTTTCGGATTGCTTCACGCAAACATCGCATAACTTCAAGGTAATACTCCTTATTAACCGTACGATCTTGTGATAAGAACTCATGATGCACCACGCCCCTGCAGTCAAAGAAAACTGTAAGCAAAACCTTCACATTTGATCGAACTTGACGTGCTTTTTTCGCTCTTGGTGACTTGAATGCTTCCAGGTGGACGATTGTGCTTTGGTTTCGACATCATAACCGTACACCCATGTTTCATCACCACTTATGACCCTTTCAAGCAAACTTGGATCGTCGTTGACGTCGTTTAACAGCTCCTGAGCGATGTTCATGCGATTGTTTTTTTGGTCAAGGTTCAATAGTTTTGGAATGAATTTTGCTGTCACCCGTTTCATGCCCAAAACATCTGAAAAAATGTTATGACATGAGCCAATTGATATGCCAACTTCAACAGCAACTTCTCTAATTGTGATTCGGTGATCATTCAGAACCATTTTTTCCACTTTTTTCACATTTTCATCGATTGTTGACGTGCTGGGTCGACCAGAGTCTTCGTCATCTTCAACGTCTTCGTGGCCATCTTGGAAACGCTTATACCACTCGTAAATACTTGTTTTATTCATAGCAGACTCACCATAGGCTTTTTGTAACATTTCACACACTTTGTTACACTTTATTTCATTTTTTACGCAAAATTTAATACAAGTTCTTTGATCCATTTCTTTTAAAAAACGAAAATCGCCGAGCTCATAAAAACACGTCAAACCTTAGCGACTACCACAGACAAAGTAAACAGTGAATATAGTTGAAAATTTTATTATACTTCAGGGGCATGTATACCAACACAATAAAAAAAATTTTTGGCAATCGGACTCTCCAGATCCGCAAAATTTAAAAATTCCGGGTATTTTTTGAACACACCTCTTATGCGTATAGATATATATATATACATAGAGAGAGAAAGAGAGAGTTTACATGTACGTATATACAGAATAACCAAAGGCTTATTTAGTTTAGAGTAGGTCCAATGCGCTGAATAATACTGAAGTGTTTGCAAATAAATAAGGTGGTATCCCAACGCTCATCAAATCAAATGTAGTATCTTCTCAAATATTTTCGTATCACTGATTACGAATGAACTAGTCGATCGTGAACGATTTAAGTGTCAATAACTATTTCTGTGATGTGTGGTGACAATGGTTAAATAAAAAAATTTATCATTGCGGAAACGTAATAAGATCATTGCACTTCATGAACTTTAAATTTTACTTACATGTAATTTTTATTTTAAAAATAAAGAACACCTCATGTTTTAAACAATTTTTTCATTTTTTTTACACCAACTATAGAAAAAAAGCTAAAAAATTTTTTTTTCAAAGAAAATATAAGAAAATTTCATAGTTTTCTACATAGAAAAAGGAACATTTTCTTTCATGTTTAATTTTTTCTATGATTTGAACTCAGAGAGTTATGAACATTTACAAAAAAACATAAATTTTCGGAAAAAATGCTCAAAAGCGGGTCATATTGAATGTAAATAATTTTTAAATGACTGATTTAGATAAGATTTGGAAAGAGGAAGAAAATCCTATGCTGAAAATTTTTTTCCTAGAATTGGCAAGAGATCAAAAACATATTTAAAATTTCGGAATTTTCATCGATGAATAATTGTTTTAAAAAATTAGAGAAACCATTTGATTCTACTCGTGTTATATACTATTTAAAAGCTCTCGGAAAAAGCTTTCAAATGAGCTGCCAATCGTTTCTGTACGCTAGTTTTGAATGAACATATAAAACTTCAAAGCTTGAACAATTTTGCTCGAAGGGGGGTAAAAGTACGTGAGCGGCAGTGTATATCCTTAAATCATATGAATGACATAAGCAAACGTAAATAACAATTTTGGTACATACTAATAAAAGGTAATTTTTTTAATTATAATAATGAAAAACGGTGTTTAAGGACTTTTACTTCATAAACTTGACGTACTTCTGAGGAATAACATTTTTTTCGTAATTTAAGTAATTTTTATTAATTGAATTAATACTTATATAAATACACAGATAGTTTTAGAAAAAAATATATTCATTTTGTACAGAAGCCAGAAACTAGTAAGTAACTGGAACTCTGACTAGTAAAAGTACATTTATAATTTATATTATATATTTTGTTTATAATAAGATAGATAGATATAGATATATATATATATATATATATATATAGAGAGAGAGAGAGAGAGAGAGAGAGAGAGAGAGAGAAAGAGAGAGAGAGCAATTTCTCTCGCCTATTGCCGTTGCGAACAAAATAAGTTAGGTTGTACGATTAGGTCATAGGTAGTTAATTTGAATATTTTATATTTGAATATTTTATATTTGAATATTTTATAGAGCAGAGTACACAGATAACTGCAAAGATTAATGTTATTGTATGCATCATTTTCTTATTATCAAACTTTCAAATTTCTATTAAGGATTCTTGCGAGAATGTAAACTCTATTTTTGTTTCTATCTAAATTTTTATAGAATATTGAACGAAGTTTTACTTTAATGTCAAAATATTCTCAAAAAAGAGTGTACAAATAAACGTACAACTAGTCTCCGAATATAAATGATAGTTATATATGCCGGTGGAATAATAAATCTGATTCACTTATTTAGATATTTTTGAGGCTAATATATATAATCAATTACCTCCTTAATGATTTTATAAGTAAATTAGTCGAATGACATCGAAGAATCTACACAGTTTTTGCAAGCTGTTCTATACAAATTCTTTACGAAAATTTATAGAATGTGTACCCCTATAAAATCTGTGTGTATTTTTATATAAGAAACTCTACATATTTAGTTAGATAATACTCCATATATTTATCGGCACAGATTTTATCCATAAGCATAAACCAGAAAGTTTTCTTTAAATTTCTTAGACCATGAACTAATGAAAACAAAATGACTATACACGATACCGGTTCTTAAATTTCAAAATTTGCTAAAAATATATTTATAATAATTATTAATAATAGAGAAATGGAAACTAAAATGATTCGATAATCAATTTAAAATGTGATAGGTCATTACTATTTTCTCTATAATATTGTAGTTAATAACAGTATAAATAAATTCATATATAACAAAGTTTATATACATTTTGTATGAAAAAAATGTATTGTTTTATGGTGTACCGTAGAAAATTTAGTTACAAAATTTTGTCACTTTTTTGTAGAACTTTTTATATTTAATTTTATGCACGAAATAAGCTCTTTAGAAGTTCAAGTATCTATTTATAAAACATCAAAATAATTAATATCTGTAATATCATAATAAGTTATTTTTAGTGGTAAAAGATTGCCAAAAATTATTCTATGATGGACGACTGTGAGTCTGTATGACTTTGAAAAAATATATACATACGCACACTGACACAAATATACACATATTTATGTGTATAAATTTCTATATATATCTGTACGTACTTCAATGACTGAATATTTTTAGATTTTCGTGTTTTCTTATAAATGACGGATAACAGATCTACTAAATACCTGTATATAATTTTCTTATAGTTTGTAGGACACACACTGGAACTATCACTGTTTTGCTTTTTGTATACCTTATATGTGTGTGTAAGTGTGTGTTTGTATATGTGGAACATTCTATTGTCCGACATATATTTGCATTATCCATTGCTGCGGCTGCGCCAAGAAGGAAGATAGGTATAAACTTATTTAGATGCATAAAAGAAATTAAAAGATTTTTTATGAATATTTTATTAATAACTGTTTATCATGTAATAAAATTCTGATATCTTTATTTATAGTCATAGAATGTATTATATTAAGTACTGATTAAAATTGTGAATATAACTGATTTTATGTTATTGATGCATATCGGAAAACAATGTGTTCGCTCGATATATTTTTCAATCAAATGATACTAATGTTTCAAGTTATTAAACGACCTGTTTTAGAATATAGATTTTTATTTAATAACTTTCAAAATGACTTTATCATTTGAATTAATAATTTATAAAAATTAAATTAAAAAATTAGTATTTTCTTTAATTTACGTTTGTAACTGAATTAAATTTCCAGCTTAATTATATAAAAATCTATATAGTGAAATCTAAAGTATAATTTATCACTTTTTAAAATACTTTATACATAAAAATAAGCACCAAAAATAAGATATTTAAAAAACAATATGCAAAATAATCGTTTATAAGTTGACAACACTTATCGTATCGGTTAAGCTGTATTGGTTGCAGATATTTTCGTATATTAATATATTTAGATACGTAAATCAGCTTTGGAAGAAAATCAAAAGACAAACTCCATTTCATGACTTATATTAATATTTAATAAATTTATATTCTATAATGCTATATAAATATTTGACAAGTATTCATATTGTTACTCATTCTGTTAAATGACTGATCATTCGCATCGTATATGTAAATTTTACAATTCCTATTGAAATCATTTGATTATAAGAGAATTCTTTTTGCTAAGTAATTGTAAGACTTCTCACAATGATTAATTCTATATTATTTATAAAAAAATGTTAAAGTAAATATTTCTACTAGCTTTTTAATTATTGTTTTCTTTCCTTCTGTTCTTGTAGTTCTGAGGTGGTGCTTTCAACAAGAAACTAGGAACGTTAACAAAATATTAGTATAAATAAATAAACGATGTATTTTTTGAACCAACTACTGTGAGTCCACATGATGCCGTATGCGCAGATGTAAGTATGTTTCAAAACACCAGAGAGAGTTTCACTACAGCAGCACGCGATCGGGGAACTCTTTCTTCTGGCTCTCGTAGTCCCTTTTTCTAACTCACGTGCTCGGCGTCTACCTTTAATAAAAACATTGTTTCATTAATCTACATAAGTATTATTTAATTAAACGTAATAATAAAGTTTTGACCCCGCTATTTACATAGTTGAAACAAGCGAGTAGCTATAGTACGAGTATTCTACGTGTTGTTCAAGCGAGCAAGAGTGACCGTCAACCCTCGTAGTGAGCATAGAGGGGATATGATTGCTAGACCGCCCATCAGTACGTAAACAAGAGAGGCCTCAGCTAAGGGGAATACTGAGCTGATGCCCGCGTATCATCAGCTCAGCACTGTCAATTCACCTCCCCTCCTCTTACGTGCTTTGAAACTGTTGACTCACCTCCCACCAGTACTAAGCTGATGCCCGTGCATTCTGTGTTCCACACTTTCGGTTCATTGTGCCCCCCTCCTCTACTGAGCTGATGTGCTCTCTGAGCCGATGCCCGTGCGTTCGCATGCTTTCCGTTCATAGTGTGTGTGAATGTGTGTGTGTGCGTGTGTGTGTTAAATTTTCTAGATTTAATAAAGTAAATTTGTATCGAAAAAAAACGAACGGACAGGTCGATCGCGTCCTCTGGATACGCAGGCTGATGCTCTACCGCTAGAACCATTGTCACTAGTACCATTGTGTATATATTATTGTGTATATATTATTAATTTATTTTGGTGCGCTAATATATTTAACTAATAATTCTATTATTATAATTTGTGTGTGTGTATCTTCACGGAAATAAAAGATATATTACACAGGCCTGCAAGGTTTTGTTCTTTTGCAACTGAGGGTCATTTCCGAAGTAATTTTTGGCGTAGAATTAGAATGTCGTCAAACACGTGCTGTACAGGTCGAGGAGTATCTCCGGCCGTAGACGAGCCACAAGCCGGAGGATCTCGAATGGTACTCCGTCCGGTCCCAGTGCCTTACCCGTCTTCATCGCATTCGTTGCTCTGATGAGATCCTCAGCGGCAAAAGCGGGGGGGCATTTGTGCGTCCACGTCATCCATCACGTTTGTCCTAATCGGGTGCGTCGGAAACAATCCGTCAACAATCCGATCGTCGTCCGTATTTTCCGTACTATGTCCAGAGTACGTCGTGTCCGTGCCCGGCCTGATCAGGACAAACAGACCCCTTTTCCGGTGGGCTAGTCCCCCTCTGTCAGGCCGAGTCTTTACGTCCGTTTTCTTTTTTGTCTTGTCTGATCGTTTTCGTGTGAGCGTCTGCCAGTCCTTGGTCGGTTCGATCGTCGGTAGCCTCTTTTGTGAGGGCTCCGGCGTGGTTCCAACCGGCGAACGTTTTCGTTTCGTCCGTGGCGTTTCTTCGTTATTCGCCGCTGTCCTGTCTGTATTGTTGTTGTCTTGGAAACGTCTTTCCGAAACTGTGTCCGATCGCTTGTGCAGCGCGATGTCCACAGTCTCAAGAATTGTCTTAATGTCCGTCTTCACTGTCATGTTCATGTTCTTTTGTATGTTTGCTGCCTTGGCCATTTTCGTCGCCGTCTCTTGTATGAGCCGCAGCAGTTCCGTCACGTCTCGTGTATCGTTTGTTATTGTCGGTGTTCGTCCTGTCGTTGGTTCTTGGCTGTCAGCGGCAGAGGCGTAGTTCACCCCTGACACACTGTCCGTCCTCTGTCGTCTCAGTAAGTTCAGTAGGTTCGTGTCGTTTTTTCGTGTCTTTCTCCCCATTCCCGTGCACAAAGTACGGCCCTCAAAATCCGTGCCGCTGCCCGTGGCCACCGGGGCTTTCACCCGATCGGAACCCGGGGTGGATTTCTCCTGAAAAGAAGTTACCACTTGAGATACATTAGTGTTTTCATTGTGCATATTCATATTTATTGTTTTGTCCCGTTGTGCTGAAGGTCCCTCGTGGTCGCGACTCCACAAACCGCGCTAGGACAACGCACGGCCCATGAGCCCCCCCCCTGTATGTTTACCCTGTGTGTTCAATGTTCCCCCCTGTGGTGTGTGCGTGTATGTAAGTGTCCATAGGCAAAACCGGGCTTCGTTCACGGGGAGATCCCCTTCACTCGCTTTCGGGTGGCTCCCTTTATAGGAGTCCCTGACCATTCGCTTTTCGGTAAGACCCGTTTATAGGGTCGCCGAGCATTCACTTCCCCGGTTTGCCAGAAGGCGTGTGTGTGTGAGTGTTTGCGTAGTGTGTGTGTGTGTGTATGTGTATAAGTGATTAATGGTTGGACACATCGGCAGAATACCATTATCTTTTGCGTCATTTATGAGCCATATCTTCCTCTTGGCCGTGTCCGTTATGGCGTTGCTGCTCAGAGCATTGACGCGACGGACAACGTTTCCACCGGGCACGTCGTGGACGTTGGAAGCTAGCATTTGCCCAGTGAGGTGTTACCGCTCACTGGACCAGCCCGGCATTATTATTATTATTATTATTATTATTATTATTATTATTATTATTATTATTATTATTATTACTAACCTCACCCTTGCCCTGGTGTGATAAGAGGGGAGTTGACCGCACCTCACGCATAATACCTTACCTGAACGTTGAATTTCCCGCTCTTTCCGAATCCATGATATAAAATGGGGGTTCTTATTAAAAAAAATTATTTGGTTATTTGGTTATTGGGGTTATTGGGTTGTTTGAGTTTCTGTGTTATTAAAATTAATCTTACCCTTGCCCGATCATCCCTGCGCATAGATGAAGAAAATAATAAATTTGACCCCTACCATGATCTTACACGGGAAAGAGGGTTAACTGTACACCACACATAATACTTTAGTTGAACGTAGAATTTCTCGCTCTTTCCGAATCCGGGATCAAAATTATAGGTTCCTATTCAAAAAATGACTCTGACTTTCAAATCACCATGAATATAAATCTCAAGGTCAAATCCGATTTCTGGGAAAGGTGTCCCTTATTGTCCCAAACAACTTTTGTCTGAACAATTTTTTTGTAGAATGCCAATCGTAGAAAATTTCGGGGTGGTTCCTTTAAAATGGGTCACCCTGTATATATTTATATATATTTGAGTAAAAAAAAACAGTGATTGATCGATAGGTTAATGTTGTTTTTTATTTATTTCAATCTTCGATATAAAAATCAAATTACACATCCTTATGGAAAACGAAAAGAAATACATCGCTGTTAATTTGGTAAATAAGTAGGACAGGCGATACGATGCCGATGTGTGATATTGTGATATTTTCGACGATGAACTGTTTGCGATTCAATTATTGCGGTTGGAAGTCACAGTGAGCAAACCCATTTATATTGGTCTTACTGTTTTCGACTTGTCCAAGACTCTCGTGTATCAATTCCTCTACGACTACATGGCAACTTGGCTGTTTCAAGTAGTTTTCAAATAATTAACAAAAGACTATTTTAATTAATAGTTTTTGTTTATTGCTCGAATAGCTTTAGTTTTTAAATAATTCATTATATATTTCCGTATCAATTAAGATTTGTAATTATAAAAATTTGAATTGTGAATTTTGTATGTTTAATCGTTGAATACACTCAACTTTGCGTTAAAAAATTAAGAATGTCTTGAACGAAAGTTAATGATTATATTCATAATAATTAACTCCGATTTTCCAGTATTTCTTATGGGTTCTTGGTAATTAATTAAAAGTTAAAACTATTAAAATCTTGTTTGTTTACAGATAAATATAACCGTTAACTTTTGTTCTGTACTTTAGTTTTATTATAGACTAAATAATATTTTTGTATTAGCAAGATTAGAGTACCACACACACACTTGATTTAAATAATT